GGACGAGTATGGCTGGCAACGCAAGCAAAATCTGTTTTCCTCAAAAAAGTGACTCGATCCGACAAACTTCGAAGTGCACGCTCCTATTCAGCGAGCATGGACTCAAGGCACTTGCACGGGGTATATAATTGTTATATTGAAACCCGCAGATTCCGGGGGTTAAGCTTGAAAAGGGACATCTTGATGTCAAAACTGACCGCGCCCCCGGCGTGTTGTTCTCGTCTGAAAGTAGCCGAACTTGCTCGACTGCGCCACAGCGGAGGTATGTTTCGATCCAAACACAAAACGCAAAGCTAAATATCACGGTAGGCACCACAGGCATGGAAGGGAAGTGAACCTAGGCATCCTACATCATCCAAAAACGAACAGTCCAACGCCTGCAGTCATCGTTCAAGAAGCTGAAAACATGGAGAAAACATCGATCAAGGCGCTCTCTCTTCTCAAAGGTGACAGTGATTTTCGCGGGCTTTGTGATGTCAAAACTGCACACTTCTCGGTGCTTTGTATGGGGAGATGAACCAATAGACGAATGATTCGAAGGATAGGTGGATAAAATGGGCACTTGGCGAGCCTGGCGAGCAGCTGAGTTGGAGGCAAGAAAGAAGGGAGTAATGAGGAAAATAGAGGGAATTCTCAGCACTCCCATTCACAATTGCTGGCCCAAGCTTGTCAAACTGCAATAATTAATGCAGTAACGAACCCACAAGCCTTCTTGGTCAAGTTGTTGAACAAGCGAGATGATCTTGTCCTTGGGCCAAGTATCTACTGCTTCTTCTCTGTGGCACGCTGGACATGTCTGCCATCGTTAGACATGTACGTATGATCACTGTGTCAACCCTGTTTGAAAGCGGGAAGCTTCTCCCTTCAGCAGGGTTTCCTTCAACCACTCAGCGACCACCTGCCACAGGATGTGCAACCTATCACTCTGAAAACGACGTCAACCACCCGGTCTTGTCGTCCCGTCCTGTCTCTCTCCGTCCTCCGTCCACCGTCTGGGTCCCCCGGACCGACTTCTCGTGCAGGCTTCGTTGCTGCTGCGCCATCTGCTCGTCCAGCTGCCGAGTATCGGCACGTGCCTCCTGGAGCTCCGCCTTCAGCTGTTGCACCTAAAGAAGCAGCTGAGGTTGGAAAAGCAAAGCGGAGAAGGACGGAGACAGAGTGACACAGTTGGGATAATATGTTGGGATCAAGTTGGCAAGTTGTTAGTAGGGTACAATCAGAGAAGTTTTCTTGAAGTTGCTCTTATGATGTCCTAATGGCCTAAACTTTCAGACTCTGTGGCTCTTGTATCATCTGCCATCATCCCACCTCCATCCTGCTGCTTTGGAGCTCATTCTCCTGTTACTTGCAGCGCGCGCATCGCGAAATGCAGACGCAACATAGCCAAATAAGGATCCAAGAAAATGACATGTGGTCAGAGCCAATGAAGGGTCTTTCAATCACATATATGGGGGTCCTTACGACCGTCAACCAGAGCTCAGCCTCTCGGAAACTCGGAAGCGAAGGTTTGTGAAGGTTTGCGTTAATTCCGGCTGCTTGCCCAAACGTCTTGAACAGCAAACAGTTTCTCCAGCAATGTGGTATTCCAAGTACCCCCGGTGTAAAACCCCGCCCGCACCGGAGGTGCCGAGGGCGTTCTGTAGGCTCGTGTAAGTGGCAAGGAGTCCGGCTAGATAAATCCTAAGCTTCAGCTTGGGGGGGACGCATTTTTCTCCTAGAAATGCTGTGCTTTTCAGTGTTTTTGAAAATTGATCAAAATTGAACCAGATGTTGGCGATGCCGTTTATGCCGGTCGGGAAAGATCGCATTATTGACATCGCAGATGTCTCGGCAAGCCAAGGGCACTGCACTATTGATATGCGATGCCGGTTATGCCGGCCGGAGGAGACTGCATTATGGACACCATAATGACTGTACCTTCTGACTGCTTCCTCACGCTCGCGCCCACTACCCCAGACAACACTTTCCCGGCTCCGAGAGCACAGGTTGCGATCTGTGCGGGCGGCTTCGACCGCGAAGCGGTGTGAATAACTGTCTACTACACGGGATTTGAAGCTAAAAATCCCCATCAGCTTCATCCCCCGCCGCCTTCTCACGCAGGGCTTTGAACTCGACCAGCTCTCGCTCCTCCTGCGGAGAGTCTCCACCGATGGAACCCGGCCACCGACGAAGACCAGCCAAGTCGGCCCAGCGTTGACACCAAAACCTCCTCTTCTTTGCCGGGTTTTTGGGCAGATTCTTCGCTCGAATCGATTGGAGTGGTTCCAGGGAGAATCTACAGGGAAAACTAATGGTTTTCATCCCCAAGACCTGTGGGTGTCCTGTGGATGTTCCCTTCAAGCAATTCCGGGACAAGCAGGCTTCCTGTAGACATGTTCTCATGTTCTCATTCACCACTAATGTTCCACAGGAGAACCAGAATCCACTCTTCCTGCGAGTGTAATGTTGGGGAAAAGGACGATTCTTGCTCAACGCGCAACGAAGGTTCGGTTTCCCCGAAGGACTGTGAAATGAAAGCATCCTCTGGAAGACTGGAAGCCTCTTCGGCCGACTGGCTCATCCCTACGCAATTTTAGGATTGGCACTGAGTCATTGGCATCTTCAAGCAGTTTGTTCTGCTCATGCATATGTCTCTGGTCTTGCTCACGCATGCTCACGCTGCTCCTCGGACTTCAACGTCCGTGCCTCGGAAACCATTCGCAGCGGAGTCGCGTCGACGTCCGGAGTCGGTACCGGCAGGGGCTTACTTTTGCAGGCTTGCCACTTGACGACCCGACACTCTACACTACACGGTCCCAAAGTGGATGTTGATTGAAGATGTTTAACAAAAGGCCGAACACAAGATTTCGTGGAGATGTTTCAATGTGGCCATCCAAAAAGATCCCCAAAAACGACGCATGCAGTGTGAAAACAAATAAGAATCCTCGTTTTGCAGAGTTCCTGAAGTTGAACACTCCAACGTGGCAAACCTTTTCGGAAAACAGGTCTGTCTCCTTCTTCCACCGCCACCGCCACTCGCCACCGGCCCGCGCTGCCTCCAGCAGCTCGCAGCGCAAGCGCTCGGCTTCGGTCCGCGCGGCCTCCGGTCCCAGCGGGCAGGGGAGGGAAGTCGTACCGGGGCGCCCGGGCCTGAAGAACGATGCGCGAAAAAACCGTAGAACAATGTGGTTCATGCATCTGTTTTACATATCTTGGCATGCACCTATTTTTGCTTCTGCTTGTCTGGATTTGTGTTTGTTTCTTTTGGCATTGGATCTTTTGAACACAAGCAGGTGGTGAACTCCACGTCCATGTGATGTGTTGGGAGTGCAATGGTTCCGAGTGCAATGGTTTGCATTCTCCGCGGATCAAGACAAACGGGGCGTCCGCGAGAGCTCAAGGGCAGAAGAACTCCAAGGCTTTCTCCCTGCTTTGTTCTTCCTTATCTTCCTTATCTTCCTTGACCTTCAGCTATAGGCTCTTATATAGTTTATTCGGCCTTCACCTCAAAAGTTTGCTTCTCCTGTGTGTCTTCCCCTAAAAAATCCGTTTCCTCAATACTCAGAACGTGCTTCGCTGACTCCCCCAAAAAACCTCCAGCGCCGCCTCCACCTGGCTCCGCCACTCCGCGGCCTCCTTCTGCGCCTGCGAAGTTCGGTCGGTCGTGCGGTCGGTGCGTGAGAAGGCGCCGGCCTCCTTCAGTCCGCTGTGGCTGTGATGTCATGCACCACGTGGGATCCGGGCACCGACATGAACCCCCGCGGGGGTCACATGAAGCAAGTCGGACAAATCTGGGGATGTCAGCCTACGGTTTGCTTTGGGAGTTGCAAAGGTTTGGATTCACGGGCCATGTGTTGTTCTTGTTCAGGTCCGCCTGGAGCACTTCAGGTCGAATTTCTGCACTGCTCACCTGGCAGTCTCATGGTGTCAGGCTCGATGGAGAGGGTCAGAAACAAGCACGAGATCAAGGCCACGATATCAGAAGTTCATTGCGCCAAGACTTGAAGTTGAGCATAGTATAGCTATGTATAGTTACACTATGTTACACTCAATGCGCTCTTGGACATCATCTTGGGGACATGCCGAAACCGTAGCCGCCGCCAATCTCCCAGGACCCCCCAGCAGCCGAGCCCTCCGCGGCGCCCCGAGCCCTCCTTTTTTCGCTTGGCCGAGCCCCGGGAAGGGCGGAATCCGTCGGTTGGGCGAAGCGAGCTCCTCGCGGATGTGGTCCTGGCGAGCCAGGATTAGGCTGTGTCAAGCTGTGGCGTCAAGCGCGCTGTCCGTCGGCTGAGGGACGAGTGGTCGCTGAATGGACCCAAAGTCGGTACACTTTTATTGAGATAGACCGAATTAGGATCCACCGGTGAACCTCAAGACTATGAAACAAACTATCGATGAACCCCAAACCTGACATGATGCTCGACAGCTTCGTGATAACGGGCTGCAAAGCGATAGCTTGACTCGCAGAAGAAGAGTTCCTGTGAAAGACAAAAAGACCAAATGGAGCAACAAGCTTCTCTGCTGAAACATGCTTTGGAGCACACTTTGCGGACTCATATTCTGAAAATGTAGCACATTGCAAGGGTGTTCTGATGCAAAATCAATTGGCGTTGCAACACCCAATCTCCTTGGGGCTCATAGCCCTAGGCCATCCTGCCTGGACAAGAAGGCATACAAAAATCACAACAGCACCAGCTCCGCTACTATAAGTGGCCAGCATCTCCCATGTTGGCAACTTGGAAACTGGTCCAGTTCCAAGCAATCCAGCTTTCATCCTTCCCTCCCACGATCTTCCGCACCTTCCATCCAAGACCCAGACCGAGCTTTCACCGCGTCTCGCCGACCACGCGCGCGACCGCGCGTCACCTTGACCGGGCTGGGCGTCTTGGGCTTCGCCTGGCGGTCGGACAGCTCATGGAAGCCTCAGAGAGGAACCTTTTTGGGGGAGAAACTATAAATATTGGGGAAAAAAACTGGGCATATACCATGGGTAATACGCAGGTGACGCAGTGACTGACACTCTGCATGTTTTTTTTGTTGCTGAAACATGCATTTGACTAAGTCTTTGTTCAAGGCTGCAGGCCTTTCAAGACCTTGTCAGACCCTTCAGCGCGGCAATATTCAATCTCTTCTCTTCTCCATGCATGTTCCCCTTTGGTTACACATCCATACATCCTTTGCAAGGAATGCTTGCTCCAAAAGCAAATCTACTAATGTTCAACATCGGGATCCTTGTTGACCCACAGCCCGGGAAAACCTCTTTGAGCACAAACCATCGGCCTGCACGGGTGTTCTCACTGTTGCTGTCTGCACTCGCTGCGTGGGCGTTGTCGGGAATGCCTGCAAGCTGCTCGGCAAGGAGGGCTGCTCTGTCAGAAGGGATAAGATGCGCCATGAAAGCAGAGAAGGAGCCAGGAAGAGTGGTGGATTGATGGATGAAATTCGGATGAAACAGAGTTGTACTGTAGAGGTACCGAAGAGAAGCATGAAGAAAGTGTGAATCCGTGCGGTCCGGTGCCCAAGGACCGTTGGGCCACTACCAGCAGTGCTGAAATCTGACTGCACATCCAACGACAAAAAAGAAAAACAACGCTCCGGAACTAATGGCATTCATTGGAAACTCCATGGCATATCATGGCATGAATGGTACTAGGCCATGAAAAAACACCCAGCTTTTTCTGCCAATCGAACAAACAGTCGCCAGAGAGTCCCCAGACAGTCGCCCCCGTCGCCCCCGTCGGGACACGCGATGGACTCGGCGCCTCGAGGGCCGAGCGACTGGGCGACCTTTCGCTGGGCGAACTGGGCGCCTCGAGGGGTCCCGGCAGCTCTCCGGGTGGCGACAGAGTCAGTGCGGGTGTCGTGTGTCGGTTGCTCCCCACCCCACGAGAATTCCGTGGATGCGTGGCCCAAGAGCGAGTCTTGTTTCTACTTGTTTTATGGTCTGAATCTGAAGGAACCATCGTTTGACGAAGGAATTTTACATTACCAGGTCATACCAGGTCAACGATTCTTTTTAGTGGTCTTTGAAGGCTAGGGAGAATGACCTGCAGTCGCTGGAGGATCGCCTGGCAAGTGTATTGCTTAGAAACCTTTCGATGGTTCTGGAGGGTGAAGTTCACCCTATAGAACCCACATGTCCTCAAGAGAAACAGCCATTTCCACACTTAGGAATCTGCACTTCTGCCCAATGGCCTTTGGAGTCTTTGTTCTCGTACCACCACCCACCCTCTTCCCCCGTTTTCAAGCACCTCGAGTCGCTCGGGCGGCGCTGGCGCCGCGCTTCCCACGCCGCGCCCCGGCGTGGCGAGTCGCTCGGAGCCAGGAGAGTCCACCTGCGCTCGGTCGGGGTGTTGGGATGGTGGACCGACCCGCAGGGAAAAAACCGGGAGAACTGCGGTCGTGCAGGTCGTGCGACGTGGTCGGGAGATGTTCGAAAAGAGCCTTCTGAGGTGAGAGGCTGAGACCACTCGCTTCCAGAATACCTGAGCTGGCGAATCTTAGGGATTTTATGCATGTGATCATGTTGTTGTTATTATACTACACAATACACCCTACACTGCACATCAGCGCAAGCAAAACACCCCTTGGAGCTGTGTTCTTTTTCCCTAATGCACCTTACACTCAGCACCCCGCCCCGTGCCACATGCACGGTCTGGCGGGGTTGAAGACAAGTCCTCGTGACGAAAAACGGCTCCATGCTGAGCCCTGGACTGGGCACAACTTGCCGATCCCATGCCATGTCCAGCCCGGCAAGCTCTGCCATGACTTCCTCCCGCAGGGCCAAATGCTTTGGCCGCGTGTCGCGGAGCACCTGGCAACCAAATACTCCAAGCAAGACCAAGAAGCTAATGCTGCCAAACCCACACACCATCACGATTCAGCGGAATGTTCAGATTGTGGGAACATCATACGCACTGGTTTCTTTCACCCCGGACAGTCTTGCTGGAACCTGCCTGCTTTGTCTGCATCCCAGCCTACCCACGCGAAGCGAACCCCTCCAACGGCTCGTCTTTGGCGAACCTTCAGTCCCTGTCGAAGCTCCTCTTTGGCTTCAGCAAGCTGGAAGTTCTTCGCTCCCTGGGCTCCGTTCTCCTGCCACAATTGCCTAGGCCTGCTTACATCTGAAAAAGAGTCTCGTCAGTGAAAGTGACCATGACACTGAGTGATTGAAACATGTGTGTATATATATATACACATATACATACATATTTGTTCATTTATTTATATAATATATATATATATAATATATATATGTATATAAGATATATATATATATATAGTGTGTGTGGGCGTGTCATGTGTGATAAACTGCCATCTTTGCAAGGCGAATCATGTTCTATGTGCCCGAACTGCACCTTCCATCAAGCCATCTTTTCCATGACCATGGTTTTGCTTGTGGAACATCCTGTCCATCACGACTATAGAGACTATAGTCCAAAAAGAGTGGAAAGCGCCAAAGCCCTGCAACCATGTGTTCGTCCGGCAGGATCCATCCTGCAACACCATTGTCCCACCCAACCACTCGCCCTTCGCTCGCGCCGGTCGGTCCCATCTCCTCTGCCTTCGAGGAGCCGGACACGCAGACGCGTGAGGCGCGCGACGAGCGCAGGCTCGAAATCTGCTGCGAGACGCGCTGGAACGCCTCCTGTGAAGGTCAGGTCACGGGATCGCCCCCCCAGGGACCGCCAGGTCGGGTGGAGGTTTGGAGGTTTGGAGGAGTGGACAGGTGTCAAGGGGAGCACAGGGGGTACTTCAAGGAGTTTCTTCTTCGAGTTTGGCTCGATGGTCCCAATCTGCAGAAAACAAAAATGATGCCAACACTGTTCACAGTGATGGGCATCTGAACTCGGGCCCAAGCAGTACGCAGTGCTGGAAACTTCTTCCATTCTTTGCCAACAGCATGTTTTTGGGATTTTCATCCAAACTGCTGCCAACCCCTTGGGTAGAGACTGGGATGGGGGGCGCAGCAGCTGCATCTCTAGGATGTCTGGGATGAAGGAAAGAACTGCCAACAGTTTCGACACTCCCCGGGCAACGTCTTGCGCAACGTTTTGAAAGCGCACCCCCGAAGCTGCCGCGACCGTGCGGTGCGACCGCGCGGTGTCCTGTGCTCGTGCAAGGTGCTTCGGCAACACATCCTGCAGATCGGGCGTCGTCTTTGTTTCAGCTCCAGAGGAGACCGGTGGAGACCATGGTCTCTCCATGGTGTCAGTTACGGTGGAGACGGAAATCGTTCCCGTGACCTTTCCCAACTTCACCGACTCTGGAAATCGGAAGGTCTTCGCGGCGGTCCTGGTCCTCCTCCTCCTCCTCCTCCTCCTCCGGAAGGGCTGCAGAGAGCATGGCGGGCCACGAGGACGCCCGAGGCCCCGACAAGCCGTGTCGCTGGCTGTCAAATCTCCGTATGCAATGCGCTTTGATAGCATGGCGCTCCCCAGAAAATGAGGGCATGATGAGCGAAATTCCAACATATGGAGCTCCATCAAGAGTGGTCATTCCTAGAGGAGACATGCATCAAGGCGTTCCATTCTACTTTTCAGCCAAGGGCAGTAAAGACGCTGTAAAGTTCTAACTCAAAAGAAACAGATTCAGCAGACCTTCGGGGAGTTGCCACATTTCTTTGGCGCTTCTGGCCTATCTTTTAAGCCAAAACCCACGGATGTTAGAGATCTTGTAGACAAGGCACGTCGAGTCCTGAGACACAGAAGAAGCGAACATGCACCACAAAACCATACTTCGACAAAGCATTCGAGCGGATACCCATGAGTTGCAAACATGTTTCTTCTTGAACTGGTGTACTACACGTGAGACAGAGAGAGTGCTCGTAGATTTGAATCGAATCGAAAGAGTGAACAGGTTGAACTGAATCAGTCAACTATTGCTGAGTCCGTCGCTCCTTTCTCAATCCGTTCCCATCCATCAGCGAGGCCAATATCGCTTCGTTGGGCTGGGATAAACAACTCCACCACTGAACGAAGCGAGTTCAGAGGCTCAGGTCCTTTCGGCCCACTGGCCTCAATGAGTGCTTCCACCATCCCACGCAAGTCATAGCTGGGAACGTCCCCACCTCAGACACAATCATCCCAACAAATGGCTGCAGAATTCCAGTCCGAAGATCCAAATCTGTCTCCCGCATAATTATGAGGGAGCGTTGCAGAGTATCATTCCAACACGGACCTGACCTCTGTTCCCCAAAACGAAAAAACAACAATCCGTTGGATTCTTTGGGCATGTCCACAGCTTGGTCCCTCCTCTTCCGGTGAGGCTTGGTGCCCAGCTAGGTGTCTCCGTCTCATCCTCCTCCGGCGCCTGGCAGAGTCTTCGATCGGCGGGAACACCACAGGCCACCGACGAGCACCGACAATGGTGCACACACCCTTCACACCTGTGCAACCATGTGTTTCCTCTTTTTGGAAAACCTCCCAGCATTGACAAGCTGTCACTCCGCAAAAAAAAAGGCCATCTGGCCAGAAGGTCTGCTGGCCAAAGCGTCTTAAGCTGCTCCGGAAAACTTTCACGGCCCTGCCGATCAAACCCGCCGAGGAAAAGTCGGCCCTGCCGATTGAACTGAGAAGCTCTTGCCAAGAGGGGGGTACCCACCGAGCTTAACAGTATATGCAGAAAAGAACGGTTCACTACCCGCACACCTCAGCAGTTCATAAATAACCCATGATACACCATAGAGTTTAAAAATAGAGATTAGTCTTTGGCCTATATTATACGCTATGTATCACGATTTTAGAAAAAAAAAAAACAGCCGCGCACACATCTGATTCATGGCCCTGGTTCACAGCCCCGCACCTTTCTTTTTGCTGCGACAAACGACCGCTGAAACCCCATTAGAGTGTCAGCGCCCGTGTGAAACATTCTGTGTGCCCAGGGGGCACGACGCAACTACTGAGCGTTCAATGTTTGAAGATAATGTGCGAAGTACTGCAAGAACATCTTGTCGCTAGTATTCCAAGCGCGAGTTCTACTCACAACTTTGCAGGAAAGCTTCCAATAGGGTTTCAACATCAGGTGGACAGATCCGAAATGAACGGTTCACCCGTGTCACCATAGAAATCTCCTGACCCCCTTCTCGGCCCTACTTCCTACAAACCCCTCCAGAAGTCGCCTTCAGGCGCCCTTTCGGGAAGAAAAAAAACGGCCGGGACGGCCGCGCGACGCCGCTAGCCGCACCGCGCTAGGCCGCTAGGCTCTCAGCGCTCGGAAGCCCTGCGGGGGTCGCACGCCCTTCACCGCCTTGACCCAACGGCGGAACCAGCAGCCCAAGCCCACCGCCTCGGTCTCCGGGGACACGGCGTCCGGGCACACGGCGTGGTCAGAGGCGAAGCGAAAGTGATGGGGGGAGCATAGAGTGAGAAGCTACGCACGAGGTGGCAAATGCTTCTTTGTTTCTTGGAAGTTATATGAAATTATCAAAGTTGGTCGGTTCTTTTCTGTGCCAGCTGTTCTTTGAAACCAGTCTAATTACTGTGTGCCCAGAAACCTAATGAACATCAGCACCATGGAGTGAGTGGTCAGTGGGGGTCCCAAATACACGGAAGTAACTTTTTTGACATCTGAGCTGGCATATCTGAGCATATCTGAGCTCTTTTTGTACTCTCGGCATATCTGAGCTGGCACTCTAAAAACTCTAGCCACGCACACCACTGGGCCACTGCTCTCCCTGCTTCCTTCTCGCTTCTCCAAGCCCCCTCGCCTTGCTCTCGTGCTGCGGCAGCCGCTCGCGCCGGAGTGCCATAATGCGGACTTCGTCTTCGTAGTACCGTAGCATCTTCTCTTCCTGCCGAGGATGGGAGACTGCTCGGGAGATCAGCTGCTATCTACTTCAGTTTCAGTGTGGACTGCCGAGCTGGGTGAGTCCTGAAGCTTTTCCCTCGAGGACGGTGGACCGGACCTTTTTACACCTGCGTTCTTGTTGAAAAGGTCAAAGGATTAAAAAACCTGTTGGGGTAGGTGTAGGTCAGAAGAAGTTCAAAACCGGATCCTCCATCCTTTCAGCCCAGAAACCGGAGGATGTTGGATTCATAACCATGACCCTCCGAAGTGAGTGCCTCGCGAGCATGATCTTTGATCCCTTACCCTTCTCAACTCCCAGTAGAAAGCACACACATGTATACATACCAGGCTCGTCCTCGCGAACCGCGCACCGTCGCTCCGTGCGAACCGGTCTCGTCGCTCTCGTCGTCCTCTTCGTAGAAGTTCACCAGATTGCTGGGCACGCCAACACCCGCCAGTTGGTCGGAGGCACTGACCTCGATCCCTCGCACGCCATTGCCGCCGGAGGCCACGCCCGGGTCGCCGCCGAAGCGCTTCTTCAGATACCTCGGCCCGGAACCGCAAGCCGGTGGCCGCGGTGGTTCCAGCTGCTTAGGAGAGCCGGGTGGCACCAAAAGGAGCGTTGGGCACCTTGTACCAGTGAAAGGAAAGATGTGGGGCTTAAGCAACCTGGTAGCCACACCCCTACCACAGAGCTTGATTTGAAATCAAGCAACAATGTAACCCTTCTGATTCTAGTAAGCCACCAGTCCTCAAGCAAGGTGTATACCTATATAGGAGCCTTGACCACCCAAAAAAAAAGACCAAAAAGGAGAGAACACCGAGACACTCAATGACACTCTCCGTCTCTCGCATCTCCTCTTCGAAGTCCTCCTCTTCGAAGAAGAGCACCTCCGACTTCAGGGTCTCGTCGTGGACTCCGTCCTGCGCCGTCTTCGGCAGGAAGCGGCACCGAAGCTTGCTGGCGTTGGCCAGCCACAGGGTGCTGTCGCCCTCGTCGAGCACGAACCTCAGAGGGGGGGCCGTCGGAGGCTGTGCCACGCGGCCACGTGCCGAAAGCAAAGAAGCCCCAAAGAGAAGCATCAACTAGGAGTCACGTTCGACGGGGTGCCGAACTTGGAGGAAGTCGGGATGCCCATCCTCCACTCACTGGATGGGACTAAAAACCTGGAAGAAGGATGCAGCTTTCCGATGATACCGCCGGACTCGGGTGCCCATTCCACTTGCAGCGGGCGACTAAGGACGTCTACGGATCACAGAGGAACGATGTCCGAGTGGTACACGGAAAAAATGCACGGTTTGAACGGGACACGGATGTTATATTTTTCGCTCAACACTTACTTCGGATGCAAAGCTTCTTCTCGGGCAAAAACATGGTCGGACGAACGAACTGCAGGACCGGATGGGGAAATCTCACTCAGCTCCGCTTCACCGTCCGGCCAATGCCCTGTTGGCTTCAACCCAAAAGCACCCGCCCGTTAGAAGGTGTTCGAAGAAGACTAGTAATTAAGATGAACTGACGAACTGAGGATGACGTGAGTACTGGCAGAGTGCCACCTGCGATTTCTGGGGCGCCCCCTTCTAAAAGAAAGTGGCTTTAGAAAAAAGAAAGGACAAAAAGAGAAAAATTTAAAAAATGGCACCGAACTGCTCCGCTGCCTGAACCGCTGACCTGGACCCCGCGTTCTCCGCGTCCAATTCAGACGCCCAAGGGGCTCGAAGAGACCCTTCACGATCTCCATTCGCACCCGGCGCGCCTGGACAGAAAGTGAGACACTTTGGGGGATGAAAACGCAGTGGTCGATCCGCCCATAGATCAGCATGGATTAGCATGCTTATCTGCTTTGAAAAGAAACACGGTTCTCACAAAAGGGTTCGCTTTTGGATCTATACTTTCTTTGGCTCTTCAAACTCTACTCAAGCAACTACACCCAGCTCAGTCCATATAGCCACTTAGTAGTAGTACCTCAGTCACATGCTGTTTTCTGCCAACCAGCTAGGGGCGCTGGCTCGGGCTCCCCATCAACCTACTCTCCACGTTGAGCTCGTGCGAGCTCGTCGAGCTCGTCTCGTCGCTCGGCTCCAGCCTTGGACTTTAAGAACTCGTTCAAGGCCTTGGGCACCGCGGCCATCCGCGCCACCTCCGACTCGGCCTGAGAGGAGGGGAAGAGGCGAGAGGAGCGAGGAGCGAGAAGGCGGACCGCCCATTAAGAGAAGGAGGGACCTAAGAATCTTGGTGTCTGGATGGGAAGAAAGATAGGTCAGATATGGTCAGATAGCTTCGAGTTGCTGATCAGATACTTACCAGTGGAACCTGCGGACCCTTGTGGAAAGCAAAGACCTGTCTCTTGCAATTGGCAAGACTTGCCACGAGTTGCCACGAGTTGCTGCAGTTCCCAAGGGTTTGTTCATGCAATTTTACTTCATTTGTTCCTTCGACCGGTTCGAGGTAGGATACGACCACAGAGCTGCCTCACAGATCAGGGAGTGGCTGAACGCAGCAAAAAGCCTCCGGTTCAATTGGGTCCTCTGCATCCAAGAAACACCCGGAGAAGGCCCTTCCGGATTGGGCTTGCTTACACAAAAGACCCCAACTTCATATTTATATATATATATACAATTTCATGAAACACCATCAAGAAAGTCACAGCATGATAGAACTCCTTCAATATCTTCAATTACCAGATTCCTCCCAGGGCTCATGCATGGCTCATGGTTTTCACATCTTCACCGACCCAGCGCTTCCTCCCACAAGTTTGAGGGGCCCTCCGGGTCGCCGGTCGCCTGCTGGGAGTGCTTCCCCATGGTCCGCAGCTCGATCCGAGCCCCGCCACCCAAGGGCATGGGCTCCTGCGGCGCTAAGCCGCCGCTGTTGATGTCGAAGCTGTAGGCGATGTACCTGCAGCAAGGTTCTCATCAAAAATAGATTGGGAATAGTCGTGATATCTTTTTTTGAAGAAGAATTCTAAGAAAAGCGGGCGCGCACCTGGATCAACATGTACACAAAAAGCAATCGGTGAGTCTTGCTGGGAGAATTGAAGTAGTCGGCTTGGTTCTTATCACGTGTATGGTGATGTTGCCAGGAACATGCCGAGAAACCCACACAACTGTTTTCATCCGATACCCCCGGCCTCACGGGGATGTTGGGATAGGCACTCAGGATGGGCACCTGCAACATCCGCATGCGTTGCCAGAACTCCCGCGGCAGCTTACTGGCACCCTTGATCCTCATGGCAGGAAACGCAAGACTCCGCAGCGCACGCGACGAATCTCGTCGCTTCCCGCGTGGTGGTTGGTGTCGTGGTGGTGGTCTTTGGAGCTGGGTCGCGTGGGGTTCGTCTGTTTCTTGGGGGCAAGAACCAATGCAGTGGAATCCCAAGAAGCTGGAAAAAAACAGTTTGATGCAAGGACCTAAGCTTGATGCAAGTTTACTTTCAATGCAGCTTCTTAGGCTTAGCCTGAGCAGACCTTGAATGGAGTCCTTGAAGATGAGAACACGTCCAAGCTGACTTAGCTGGCCAAGCTGACTCAGTCGACTCAGTCTGTCACTTCTGTCCGACTCAGTCTTCCACCAAACACGTCGACCAAACAAAGGCAACGAATGCGGCCTAAGGACTGGCTCACAGCTTCGGCCAGCATCATCTGTCTGGATAGGCCATCATTGTAATGCAAGGCCGCCACCTGACCCATCCGACGTATCGATATCAAGGTTCCCTTCAGTTCAGCACGGGGGCTTCTCAAACAAGATCAAGGGTCAATGAATGCAAGAAACAAACAAATTGACCAAAAAAGAAAACGCAAACGGGTGCGGGCACGGGTGTTTTCACATCTTGCAGGTCCAAGAAAACCTGTTCAGAAAAAAAGAAAAGGACATGCGGTTCGCTTATTTGGGGGGAATCCTCACCCAAGGGCCGTGCTCGGCGCCTCGATCTGCCGTAGCGCGCTCGGCGTCTCCGTGGACTTGGCGTCGGCCGCCGGACTCAAGGCGCGGGCCAGGCTGGGCTCGGAGCGAGAGGAGCGACGCATGCCTCGGAAAGCAGCACGGCTGATCCGGGAGAGGACAAGATGACCTGGTATCATATATATATATATATACATATATGTGGTATCATAATATGGGTGGTGTACGCTGGATCAATACATGGGTCTCTAGGTGGGTCTCTTGGTGTTGGGGTTGGGGTTCCGTTCACTGAAAACATGGCCAACCATCCAGCCACTCGAAGGATTTGGTTGGGATGAAACTGTGACAGGCACAATGTGTGATGTCAAGAATTTCTATCGGCTGCTACGTCTTCCGAGATGGCCTCTTGTTCAAAGCACTGTCAGTATCACTCTGGCGTTTCCAAAGAATCATATTTGAGCCAATCTTCACCAATGTGATACTCTCAAGCATGATGGTATAGCACTGCTGATGTGTTATCATATTACTCTCTAAGTACTCAAATATGATACTCTCAATCTCACCCCTGCTTGTTGCCATCCATGGTACTGCTTCGTCTCTCCTGGCGCTCGTTATGCTGCGCAGCAGCTCGGCGCACGAAGTCTCTCAAGACACGAAGGAGCTCGGCACTGGTCCTCAGAAAGCAGGGCCGCAACTCGTGCAGGTCATGAGAGGAACCTTCCCGTCCTGGGATGATCGTGCATCACCCTGATGATCGTCCTTCTCTGCGGAATTTCTTCAGAAAAGAAAACTGCGATGCTCAAACCAAATGTGGCGCGCTTAATCCTGAGCCACCTCATGCCCCTTGATTCTCTGTAGGAAGAACGGGTGCGGAAGGTTAGTTCATGTCAGTTCGCGAAGAAGTGAAAAGTGACGAACTTGCTTCCAAAGCATATGGCCAGGTGACTTCTCTATCTAAATGGCCATCTTCTAGTGGGACCAACGAGGTCCCTCCTTCCACGTTGGCCAGGTGACTTCATCCGCACCACGCCGATGCGTCCGGCGGCGTCGAGGAAATAGCGCCTGCACAGGGTGAAGGGCTGGAGGGCAGCAGGTGCTGCCCCTGGAGTCTAACAGGGTGGACCGTCCGTCTATGAATCACAGCAGAATCATAGCGATAAACATGCGCGAGAGGCGAGTGGACTTCTTGGTTTTAGTTGGGCAGCTCCAGATTCAGAAGCACCTGGCTCCCTCCACTGAAATCTGTCCATTCACCATCATGAAGCAATGAAGAGCAAATGAAGAGCACACCCTGGTTCTTCTCTCTCACCCTCTCACCCTCTCTCTCACCCTCTCTCCCTCTCTCTCTCTCTCTCTCAGGCGGGTGAGCCTCTTGGGCTTCCCCTTTTCCAAGATCACCGTCTCTGGCACCAAGATCCCCAGCTTCCCCTGCAGCGAGCGTGGGTCCGGCGTCCACACGCCGTCGTAGCTCAGGGTGCCCGCCAGGCCGCCGCCCTCCGAGGGCGAAAGCTCCGACATCACGCGCAGGAGCCAGGTGAAGTCCCACTGCACCAGCGACTCCTGCGGCGGAGGCCCGCGCGTCTGGAAGCCGGGCGGAAGCGTGGCGGTGGTGGGAGGCAGCTGGAGGCAGCAGGCAGCTAGAAGATGGAGCGAGCCGGTTTTTTGGGGGGGCTTAGCAGTAGCAGTATAGCAGCGTGAGGGGAACAGCTTCTTCCGGAAGCAGCAGAAGGGTTCAAAAAAGGTTGATTCCTCGTGTTGGTGCTCTTGAGGTTCAGTTCGTTTCAGATCTGCATGGCCTGTGGGTAGGGACATCTAAAAACCTTCCAGACCTTCCTGAAGAATCACATCATGATGCCACAGGGGAGGCTCTTCAATAAGGGTCTCAAATCGTTCCACGTGGCTTACGGCCGACGGTGGCCCTTCAACTCACGAGACTCGTTCGCGCTCCGCGCTCCTCCAACCGGCCACTGGTTCCCTTCTGCTCCCGCAGGGTACGACTTGGTACAGCACGCACCTAGCGGCACCGCGCACGCGGGGTCACTCTCCGACTCTTGAATAAGGTGGTGTGCAATCCAGTTGCAGGCAAAATCAAGCAAATCTACCGGGAATGCAGTAGCCAATCACTACAACTTGTTCCTACCTATGACTGCCACGAAGTTTGAAGTGTTGGCAAACTTGCTCGATGAACTTGGGTATCGGCAACATGTCTTTTGGTGTTCACGCAATGATCCCGCCTGCCCAACGGTGAGGAAGCCAGCACTGTCCTATTTGCAAAGGTATTTCAGATGCATCATTTGCATTAAATCGTAGTGCCAAATGCCAAACAGCGATCAAACAAAAACTCAAGCCTTCCACCAATACAACACTGCACGAACCCCACAGCGTCCTCCGCCGATTTTACGGGCGGCAGTGGCCATTCGCTGCTGATGGTGGGACCTGTGCGTGCCTCTGCGGCTAAAATGCACTTCTGGCAGCGGCAGGTGATGGTTCCTGCCAAAAAGACCAACATTCAAATTTAAAGCAATCACGGCTTTGTCTGTAGCGTCGTTCTGGGTGATTCAGACGACTGTGGGGACTGCTGGTGCACGTGACAGAAACCACACCTGAACCCAAGCATGCGGCATGACCGAACTCACAACACGGGCTTCGATCACACGGCGTTTTGGCCTTTTTCGACACCTTTCCCGCAGCAAGCGCAGGAAGCGTAAGCGTTCACCCTGCCTGCATGTTCGCTCACCAAGTGCTTGGCAGCGCGTGCACGTTGCCGTTGGAGGAAGCCAGGGGCATCCGACATGAAAATGGGCTTCGCGCTGCCATAACACATGGCGCCCCGCGAAAAGGCCGCGACGGCCGCGAGAAGAGCGACGGAGAAAGCGCCCAGGAGGCCAGCAGCTCGGTTCACAGGGCCAGTGGTAGCTGGCAACCAAAGGGGTGAAGGTTTCTTGCTTCATGCCACGGATCTACGATGGTCTCTGAGTCTTTATTGGACTGTTTCCTGGGTGGAGGGATCATGTGCCTCTTCTCATCTGACCCTTATCTGATTCAGTGACATCAGCAGCTGCTTTGGGTTTTGCTTGTGCCTCCATGGGGCAGGCTACAAGGACGTGGCTGTTTGTGGTGTGTCTTGCTCTTCAACGCAGTTTTGGTCCTCGTGCTGGCAGAGATCAATTTGTCAGCAGTCAGCATGTTTTGCATCATTCTTTCAATACCGACAGAAGTCAAACCTGCCGCGTGCTGTTCTCTACATAAATGTTCTTTCAGCACCCGTGTCAGACCCCAAACCATGAAGCTCAACAAACCTTCAAAGGAAATCCAGTTGGTGTGATTGTTTTCTTCATCACGTGTCAATTCCACAGCGTGGCCCAAGCACCTACCGAGTGACTTGCAAATGAAATCTAAGGTATGACAAAGAAATGCCTCCCAAAAGAAATCCAAACATGCACCCGAAAGAAAACGTTGGTACTGGAAGAATACAATAACATGTAGTCCAAGTGTAAACCGCTGAGCATCATAGAGGACCCTCCCGACAAGTTTGTTGTCCAAACATATCCAAACAACATGGCTCAATCTGGCCATGGCTGCATGGCTTCAGAACATTTCTAGCACCCCCGCCCTCAACTGTCCTTGTTCAACCAACCCTGAGATTTTCTTGGGGAGGGGGGAGAAGAAACATCCATCTCATCCCTTCCAGAGATCAAAACCGATGTCGGATCTCGGCCTGGCTGGCCAGAAACCTCTGGATGGCAGCTCCAACCGCCTGCGCCTGCAGAACAACGCATTGAGGTGAACAGCGTGAACGGCTTGGCTGGGGAGTCAAACACATCAAGCTCCTGGTGTTCTCCAAGAAACCATCAAAGAAAGCGTGGTCATTGCAGCTAACCAGATTTAGTGAGTTGAGTGGTTGGTTTTCTTGGAGGTTTTGGCCCACACCTGGTGTGCCAAAATTTGAAAGTGAAAGCTCAAAAATATCACTCTACAGTGCCTATGATCAGCAGCATCTACCTAGTTGAAGATAACAACACCTTCCAAACCACTGTTCAGGTTTGCTAAAGGCAGGGAAAATTGAACCAAACAGAAAGAAACCTAACAGGTCACCCTGCCACTCAAGGGTCACACAGTCGGCGACTGTGGCCTCCTCTCTCTCCAGCTGTAGCTGCTTTTCCAGCTCTGCGTTCCGTTGCTGTAGGCGATTCAGGTCCTGCGATCAGTCGAGGCAACCGGCCATCCAACAGAAACCGGCAGAACCGGAAGACTCGAGGCACAGAGTCGAACGAAATGAGATGAGTTCACCAATTCCAGGAACTGCATCAACGAAACAGTTACTGTCGATTCTTGATGTGGGAGAAAAAAAAGAGTCTTTGGCCGTACCATGCCCATCTGCTCGGCTGGGTGGAGCAGTTCCCAGCGCTGGCGCTCCTTGGCTGTTTCCTTCTCCTGACCTCAGACATGGTCCACCCCACCAAACACCATCACCACATCCCATCCGTCAACCTCTCCGAGCCCCCGTCGTCCTCTCTTACAACCTCGACCGGAGTCGTTGGTCCATCCCTTTCCCCCAAAGGGCACGGGGGCTCCGCCGGGCTCCGCGCCAAAGAGAACTTGAACTTCGGATCGGAAGTTCCGGGACAACGCCTGCGAGTGAGGAAGAGGCTTCTTGTTTCCCCTGGTCATCCGAGTGATCCCCAGTGACTTAGCGGAAAAGAGGCATCCTTGCCAGCAGATTGAAGATGGAGCATTTCAAGAACTGTACCATTTTGCCAACTGATCTCCCAGATTCCCAGATGGTTTGCACTATTCACGCTTAAACTCCTGATAATTCAAGAGAGACCCGCCTCAAATCTCTTCAGCAGGTCGTTCTCATCTCCCTGGTCTTCAGAGAAATCCTGCAATTCGCTCAAGGAATGTCCACTACCTAGTCAATCCCAAATACAATAGGAGTCAAAAGCCCTTTTCTTTGACCAGCCAAGTGTTGCACCTGCATTTTGGCCGGTGCAGGTCATTTCAATGATCATGTCAATACATATTTCACCCAAAAGGAAAAAAGCAACGTTTTTTGGATTTGTCCTACCGGAACAGAGCAAGCTTTCGGTGGATCTCGTGCAGCATGCCCGTGTGCCCAGGGGTTTTGCTGTGGGAGCTTTTCTACGGGGTAGAAGCACTGTTTCCGCGAAGGAACCGCGAAGGAAGAGGCACTAAGCTGAACATAATTGGTCCCAGCCCATAGAACTTCGAGTTCGCACAAAAGTAGAGTAAGAAGTAGATGAGTACCATACACTCTCTGTATCCCTGGCCAGGGCCTGTGAAGCATGCCTCAGTCAGGATGATACCAAACAGCTGGTGTTGTGAGTATCCTTCCCAGGTGCCAAGCGTCCGCGATGTTTAATTTGGAAGCATGTGTTGTCAAGCGGCTCAAGCCCAAATTCATTTACTTTAAGTTTCAATCTGTGCATGTTCATCCATTGCAGTACTGGTCATATCTGTAATGCAACAGTATCTTGCATTGTCAGAAATAGAGAGTTAGTCAAGCAGGTACAGCAAACACCTTTCAGAGTGAGTGAGTAAGCATCCAAGCGAGACGAAGACAAACGTGGCAATCATAAGGAACGGCCTGAGCCTATCCTAAGCAGCCGGCACATCAAAGTACTCCTCAGCATCAAAACGGTACCACAAGGCCCTTTGGACGAGAAGATTCTCCCGTTGAAACCGCAACCAAGTCAATGCCTAGTTGTTCCTAGTAGCTTCTTGTTACTACCAGTAAGGCACTTGTTACTACTAGCGATGCACTTGTTCCTAGTAGCTTCTTGTTACTACCAAGTCAATGCCTATCCAACGCATCCAAGCCCAAGACCGCCATTTTGGCAGAGGAGACACTCGAGGACCCCAGCGGATCCGCGGAACTGCTGCGGCAGAAGCAGTCAGGACAACAGCTGCAACAGCTGTGAGCGGTCAGGCGGTCAGCTGAGTCAACAACTTGGGATGAAGCAAGCGCCAAGTATAACACAGTTTCTGGAAATGCATGGAAAAAGGCAGCAGCTATACACAAAATAAGCCATGGAAGGAGACTAAAACCGACTTTGCCACTTGACGACTTGGAGTGCATGAAAAAGTGGGCTGAAAAAAGTGTATATTGTAATATTGTATATACTGTAATCGAACTCTCCAAATCGTCGACATGAATGAAGCACATCAAACCAAAAGGGCTGCCTTTGTCCTTTTCCCGCACCATCTGCTTTTGGTCTGGTCACTCAACCGTGAGGTCGCCCTTTGGACGTCGAACGGCGACAACGTCAGGTCCTGTGCCGCGTCCCATCGCTTCACGATGTGTTCGACCTTTGTGCAGACCGTGTGTCGCTGAAGTCCGCCACCTCTTGCCACGCGGCGTTCCTCCGCACGCGGCGACAACACGGCGTTTCGGACCTTCTTCTCCCTGGAATCCTTCTTTGTCAGAGTTGGCAAATCCTTTCATCATCCAAAATCGTGTTGCGGCAACTGTTCAAGAAAGAACCAATCGAGTTCAACACTCGAAAACTTGTGAAACGCAGATGGAAGCTTATGCAACAAAAGGGGAGCACGACCACCGCTGGCACCCACCTCGTTCGTTGCTCGATGATGCTCAGGAGCTTCCAACACCTCCCACCTCAAACACAACTTGCTACGACCTCTGCTACTGAAAAGAGTAGGCGAGTAGGCGAGACCCAGCCTGGTCACATTCACGTTCACAGCCTGACGAATCGGAGAACAGAGGTCCACACATTCGAAGAGGTCGTTCGCACCGCAAGAGAATGGAGAAGACAACAAAGAAAACAATGACCCATACTATCTTAGTTTCTGTTATACAATTGCCTTGGCAAAACCCTCAGCTTGACGACCGCTTGCTACAGGCACGGGTTCTGGTTCTGCATTTCTTTTTTGGAAAAGCGCATCTTGCCCGGCCTGCAATCATGGCTGACAGGCCACTGTGAGCATTCCTCCAGACAGCTTGCTACACCCAATGGCTGAAGTTCCATCGAACCGCTGTTATCTGTATGCGTGCTGCCTATTTGCACACGAGCAACCTGTCAAAGCTCTCAAAAGCACAAATCATCAGCTCATGACTCTGTGTCTCTGTGTACTGAAAAAAGGACTGTGTCAAAGTCAAAGTAGTTCATTGATAGATCGTTCTGGCATCTACCAATATTGGACCAGCAAGAAGAAAATGCTCCTCTGGCAAATTCCAGACAAGATCTCTGCGGCCTTAGACCAAAAGAGGAAAATGATCACAAGTAATCAAAGTGATGTAACATATCAAAATGATTAGATCTGCAACCCGAAACAAGGATCCTGCTACTGGTTTGAGCAAGCCACTCAGAAGCCCCTTCTTGTACCTTGGCCGTTCTAGCAGGCGAGCTTGGAACGATGTTTCTTCCAAGAAGTGCACTGAGGAAGTAAATGTTGTTTTAAGCTTAGTACCAGTAGTAGTGGTGGTGGTAGTGGTACTAGCGGTAGTCGTAGGAGTAGCAATAAAATCAGCAGTAGCAGTAGCAGTAACATCTTCTCTGCCTAGTACGTCGCAAAGTTTTGCAGAGTAGTACCAACATGAGGCCAAACATTGTGGGTCTTGTTCCCAAACAGCGGCATATCGTTCCCATGACATGTCATGGCGTCGGCATTCTAAACTTTGATAGCTTTCAGACAAGACTGATACATCCTCATCCTGAACACTGTGATCCCTCAGATATAACCGCACTCTTAGCAGCATGCTTCACCGTGGCAGATTGTGTGTACAAAGTCTTTCCAGGGGCAACCTGGCCAAGAAGTTCTGAAAAGACGTTGCCATTTTCCAATAATTTCCAATATAGAAGCCTGTGAATCTAAAGCAACTAGGCCTTAATCTAGAGGTCTTTAAAGCAACCATTGGAATGATCCTGCGAAAGACCATCTTTCCTAGGATAGTCAGATGGAAGAGTTGGACAACATATTTACAAAGATCCAAGTACCTGTCACCTCGCATGAAGCAACACACCTCGATGGGCCTCCGTATAGCAACACACCTCGTCGATGCGCAAGACGCTTTGACCCGTCCTCGGGGCTTCGGGAAGCCACCACGGCTTGAAAAGGGAAAAGAATCGATAAAGAAAAGAGGCATGGAGCATGGAACAAAAACGTGTCAACAAAACGGTGTGAACAAAACGTGTCAAGAAAAGGACCATGGATCAGCTCCAAGCTCATTTCGGCCGCGCACCGTCAGCCTCCGCCTAGATCCATCCACGGTCGTGGTCGGTCGTGTTGGTTTCGTTTTAAACCGCTCCAACACACCAAGCTCTGGACCTCGCCAGGTCCCAATGCGCCTTTGAAAAAGATAGGAAAAAAAAAGCTCCAAAAAGACCACGAGCAAACTGCCATCGAAAAGTCATCCGTACTCGTCAAACCCGTCGTGTTAAAAAGGAAACCAACAGAGACACACGTCATCCGTAGATCTGCCTCCTCCACACAGATCGCGATGGTTCTCTTCCCCAAAAGCCTCGGTTCAACTCACTTCACCACAATCATCCCATGCACATCCAACCGCTCAAGCTCCCCGCCGTTCGGCCAACTTGGGAATGGGGTACATGCCTGGCCGGCACGGATGGCGCACCGCGCCACTGGGTCACCGCTTGAGATAGAGACGCCGATGACTTGCCAAGCACCGAAGACCATGGTTCCTTCGAAACCTAGTAGTCTCCGGAGCTTCATTGTTGGTTGGTGCGGAATGCAAGCCACCGTTCGTGTCGTGCCGGAGGTACAATAGAAGACCCTCCGAAGGTCCATGGTCTGCTTCTCTGGACCTTGCGACGTTTCAGGAGTGGCCTTTTCCGGCCAAAATGATCGAGTACCTTTTGAAACGAGTCGTGTGTCAGACTCCTCCATTCGTCTGGGCCCCCGTGAATCGAAAACGGCAAAAAGTCGCAGGTTCGAATCAAAAGTCTCAGAGGTCGAAACACACATGCCTGTTGACAGTTTCCACCGACTTCACCTCAAGCTGCTGCATGAAATTCAGCTGCGCTGCATGTTTAAACAGCCGAGTCACATATTTCAAATTGGCATCGGGAAACTTCTTCAAGAATGCCGTTGTGACCACATCCTGAGAGTATTCACTAAAAGGAAACACAACCCAAGCAACCAAATATCCAAAAAACATGTAATGGCCTGAGTATCCAACCCAATCAAAGTTCAGCATGTGCTGATTGTTGTACAGCGGCACAGCCTCGCTCACCACATCTCCACAAAGATTTGTGCAAACCACGACCAATCCAAACAAGGCCTCCATCATCGTTTTCGCGTCCGGCATGCTACGTTGCAATGTATCACTTGAGAGTGCTCTTCATCAGATGTCATCATGAACTGGAAAACATAAACATGTTTGCTTGCAGGAAACAAAAAACAAAATATGCAGGGAGAACCATATGACCCAAAAACCATGTTTGCAAAACATGTGAGTGCGGGGGAACCTTGGCGTTGTTGTAGGTTCACTTCGAAGACACACCAACTGGGTTGAAGGTCTTTTCGGCCCCCAAAAACTGTTACGTGAACCTTTTCTGCAGCTTCGGGCCACATGCAGATTCGTGCAGGTTCGTGTACCCTGACGGGCTTGGCCGGAATATCAACTTCCTGCTTCGCAGTTTCGCATAAAATGTTTTCTTGACGACCGACAACCACAAAATCATCTGACTGAAGTCTTCCAAATGCAGTGAGCACCCAAAGTCTTTTCCTTAATTTTGCTTACAACCAAGGGCTTCATACGGCAACTGGCATAAGGCAGGGCACAAGGCAGCGTTTGTGGCCTGGTCATGGTCGTTGCATCCTCGTTTCTCGTGGCTGGTGTGGTAGTTTGGCGCGCCGTGGTCATGCATTGTGAGTGTTTTCGTGTGTGTATGTGTGCTGTCATCTGTGCGCTCTATGTGTGCCTTCTTGTGTGCGTCTGCATGCGCGTGTTATGTGTGCGCACATGCTACGTCTCACGCATTTGTATATTGCAATCGCAAACAATCACAAGTTTCCAAAACACAAGGGAATCAACCACAGACCTAACTATCCAACGAAGAAGGTCAAGATCCGTGTGGCATCTGGTCTGATCAGCCAGACATACCTGGCACGATGTTAGGCCAAGAACTTCATCATGTCATGAACATATTTAGGTGTGTTGGTGTTGATTGGATATTCTGACTTTAGACGATCCAAAAAGGGAATCAAACCGCCGCTTGTTTTCCTCTGATGAGACCAAGCTCCTCTTGCATCCGCTGGGAACGGATCTCCATACATCATTATTGTTCATGGGCCACGACAGATGAAACCAATGATCAAATGGCAGATGGATGGGCTGCTCTCCAGATGATCCCAACATGCGTTAAGTGCCTCACCTTCTGAACGACTGTCCATACAGGCCATTTGCCAAACAGCATGTGTGCAGTAGCACACGGCGGAATCGTCAATTCAGAAGGGACTTTCGCCTGGCTCACCGACTTTCGCCTTGCTCACCGCCGCCTGGCCCACTTTGCTTTTTTCCTTCGCAGCGCGCCTTGTGGTCTGAGCCACGCGTCACAAGGAGTAAGTGAGGAAAGGAAAACACCCAAGCTTGCCGCACGGCGAAATTGAATATACAACGGCAAAGTGAGACAAAGAGTGAGACATGGAAAGCAATCCTCAGAACATCATCCGGTCGAAGTAGTGTGTGGCGGCACACAGTCGCAAGACCCAGAAGGGGCGGTCATTCAAAGCTGGGCCAACAAGGCGTCGGGCGCACTGCGACGCACTCCGTGTTTAGGGAACACCTCAACTTAAGCGACAGGGCAGGACGTTGGCAGTCAGCACCGTCCAAATCATTGAGGCACCATGCTTTCGCGTCGAGGGAAGGATACCCAAGCAACGCAAATGAATTTGGCACAATACATTCAGTTGGTGCGAAGCCGTAAAAATATGTGCAAATCAATGGCGCAAAGCCATTGCCAGATGCACTGAGTAGGCTGAGCAATCTCAGAACATTGGCAGCCGTCTGGGGAATCCTTCAAGGAGCAGCCACCTGATCAAGATTTCCATCAGTCAGACTGGGCTGTGCTTTGGTATGCGCTTTTGCGCTTTTGGTTTTTGCTTGGCTTGATGCCTCCGCAAGTTGCAATGCTCCAGTGAGGTAACTGCACTCGTCTCAGCATGTTTTTGTGTTTTTAAGTTTTGGTTGACTTGATGCCTTCACAAGCTGCAATGCTCCAGCGCATTAACTACAAAAAACACCTCTTCTTCTGGGAGTTTTCAAAGTTGCGATACAAAAACTCAATATGAAGTGAAAAGGCCTAGGCTGAGCTTGCATGTTGCAAAAGTCAAATTTACATGTGTCCTGCCACGTTTCCTGCAAAGCCTGCCAACTTTCAAGCAAGTGTCACATGCGGTACTTCATTTCTACAATGTCGTTTTCGCTTGTTCAGACTCAGAATTGGAAGCCGACGTGTTTCATAAGACATGCAAAAATCAAATCAGAACTGGAAATATTGATGCGCCAAGCGATCCAAAAGCTGGTATACTGTGTAAGCGCCAGGGTCGGATACCGCGTAAGTGTCTGGGGCGGTCTGAAGTTGGCGCTGCACAAGCGCCTTCACTCACCGGCGCTGGTGGGCGCCATTTGTTTCTGTTACATGGCGAGTCCAGGCGACAATAGCGCACGCTGTCCACCGGCACTGGCGCTGCATATGCGCCCCAATTAGTGGCGCAAAAGGCCGTGGCACGCCCGTTAGACGGAGCCACACGTGTATATCGCGCGCGCAGTTGCAATGAAGTGACTTTATTGCGTCACGCGTGCGCTCTATCGTGTTGCGCGCCGGGTTTTGCTTGGGCATCGAGCGTGTGCACTTCTGCGCTGCGCACGATGAGGGCGCGCACGACACAGGTGTGCGCGCGCGCGATTTTTAGACAGGCGCGCATGCGAGTTTAGACAAATGCGCACGCGCGCGATCTTAGATATCTGAGGAGGCAGGTTTGGGCCCCATCTGAGAGAGGCAAGGCATTTTGCCCTGTCTCCCTCAAACAGTCTTGGGTGGTTTCGCCAGTTGGGCAGACGCCCTGCCTCTCTTAGGGGCGGCCCAAACATGAAGGTGTTTTAGAAATGTGTCGTGTGTTTTGGGCTTGCGCAAATTTCATTTTGCCAGGCACCAGTGACACTTGGCCGACCAGGAGGCAGCATTTTACATCTTCCTTGGCAGATACGCAGCAATTGGCGACATTTTTTGGCAATAATTTCACAGTTCACCAAGTGCGCGGCAGCAAGTGATGGCGCTTGCACAGCACCAAGATGCCAGCCTGCGCTTACGCAGCACCAACTCAGCGATGGCGCTTGCGCAGCACCAATTCGGGCGGTGAAGGGTCTTCCCAAAAATGATGAGAAATCCGCTTCTACCCGAAAAGAATCAAACATCCTAATTGCTGGTCCGCCCTGCGCCCCCACCTCCCTAATCCAGCCTTGTGGCAATGGAACGCACGCCACCGGGCGGACGGAGAAGCAAAATCGGAAAAACAGCCATAATGGATCCTGCATCGATATATCCAGTCTTGATTTGAATTTTGCATGCCTTATGAAACACGTCGGCTTCCAAATTCTGAGTCTGACATTGTAGAAATGAAGTACAACATGTGACACTTGCTTGAAAGTTGGCAGGTTTTGCAGGAAAAATGGCAGGAAACGTGTAAATTTGACTTTCGCAACATGTAAGCTCAGCCTAGGCCCGCTTTTGCAAGTTTGTATTTTTAATAGTCTTTTCTCAAAGCTTGAAAAGCCAAGGGAAAAAGGTTTAACATGGTTTGGCATCGTGCAATGTAGGCATTTTTGGTAGTACATGCCGAGGCCAGTGCAGTTAATGCGCTGGAGCGCTGCAGGTTGAGGAGGCATCAAGCCAACCAAAACCCAAAACGCAATCAAACAACAACGCTGAGACCAGTGCAGTTAATGCGCTGGGGCATTGCAGCTTGTGGAGGCATCAATCCAACCAACAACCCAAAGCACAAAAGCACATACCAAAGCGCAGCCCAGCAGACATGGGTCTGACTGGGAAGAGGCAATGCCACGTGTCTCTTTTTGTCATATGTCACCCCTTCCCCCCTAGATAGGACCCTGAGGAGGCAGCAGGTCAAACAATCAAAAGCTTTGCTCAGCGTTTGTTAGCATTTTTCTTCTCAAAGCGTGCATTGTTTACGGCGCCGCTCTTCGCCACAGAGGTAGCGAAAGCGAAAACAATGCGAAACACGCAGAGTGAAACAGAACAACATGTACACCGCGCAGTCCGGCTCTCGGATTAAGACGGTCTTGGTGAAATATCGTTTCCTATTGGTTCTTTTGCCCTTGTGAAGCCAGCAAACCAATCTCAGAATATTAAAACCTCCTCTGGTCCCAGGGTTCGGCAGGTGGTCTAATGATCATCGTAAGACGGAGCTTCTGCAACCTGGACCGGATCTCATGGAGGGAAGTTATACCAGGACGCCAGATTGCTGAACCTTATGGTGGGAATCGATTTTGCTGTGGGCCAACGGCCAATGGACATCTCTCCTGGTTGACTGGCCTGATCCCTCCCGACAGCATGATGTTGTTGATTTCTCACATCACATCCTTCAACTGTTGAATCCTATGTTTTTCAATTGCTGCTGGGAATCCAGGCTTGAACAGGATGGAATTGTGAAGGTTGTTGACCAAAACGACCACAGCTGCCCATTACATCTCTATGTGACTTCGCAGTGTGGAAGCAACAGCAAGGCCGGGCCCACTGACTTGCAAGCGCTTCTCACAAGTTGGAGCATGGCCAGCTTCGGCCTTCACGCCTTGGTCAGTCCAGCAGACCTCACATGCATCCAGTTGGACCGCTTGGGACTCTTTTGGTCAGAAATGCCGAACTCGAGTACACTGAGTAACTGGAGTTCTAAGGTGTGGATTCCTCACTTCATTGGCTCCAGCCTGGAACTGGACAACATACCGTATGAGGTCTGTGCCTTGGCATATCACGGTCAGGACTCACTGTCTGGACACTATGTCTCCGCGCTCTTGAATGATGGCATTTGGTAGGTCTACAACGACTCTGACGACCCCCCAGCTCTTCCGGGAGCTCCCACCGGTGATCCTGGAGAACGTATGCATGCTGTGGCTGAAATGCACACCCCATGGAGGTGCGGAGATCGTGTCTCTTCCAGCAGATGAAGCTCCATCTCTGTCCAGGGATGAACAGATTCAGAATGTGACGACCGACCCAACAGCAAGAGATCCCTGGTTTCACGAATGGCTTCAAGCTCTGGATCTTCTCGACACCAAGATTCTGGTCGACAATCCTGAGCTCTGCCACAGATTG